AAATAGAGACAAATCTTAAAGAAGGCAGAAAACAGCCTCAAGTCTTTAGAGATGGATATTTTGTACCCATTAAGCAGTCCATCCTATTCATAAATAAAATGCCTTCAACTACAGCTATATACAAAACCCCACCTATCTCAACCCCATTTTGTCAGCAACCCCAGAAACAAGCTGCCATCACTGAAGTTTCTGGAAAATCAAATAAGCAGACACCTCCCTTTCCTCGCAGCAAGCCTCCATTTTATTTCCAGCTTGAAACCAGACCAGATTTTTCTTTCTTTCTTTGTTTATTTTATTTTTACTTGTCAATTGCTTACAAGATAATAGGTATAAGTAAAAACATAGTTATGAACACATGGATACATATAAGAAAAATTAAAAAAAAATAAAAAAGAAACAATAGGACAGGGACCATAGGCACGTTGGTGGGCTTATGTACGCCCCCTAGAGGCCTCTTAGGAAAGGAGTGAGGTCAATAGACAGTCTAAGGTTAAAGTTTTTGGGGTTTGGGGAAGAAACCACAGTCAGGTAGAGTAGTCCAGACATTGACCACTCTGTTGCTGAAGTCGTATTTCCTGCAATCAAGTTTGGTGCGATTAACCTTGAGTTGTAGAGTTGTATCTATTGTGTGCTCTAGTGTTGTTATGGTTGAAGCTGAAAGTATTCATTGACAAGTAGGACATTGCAATGTAGGATTTTATATACTATACTTAGATAGGACCCAAGGTGGCATAGTTCTATATTTTCTAGGTCTAGAATTTCAAGTCTGGTGGCATAAGGTATTCTGCAACGAGTAGAAGAGTGGAGAACTCTTCTTGTGAAATATTTCTAGACTTTCTCAACTGTGTTAATATCAGATACGTAATGTGGGTTCCAGACTGATGAGCTGTATTCGAGTATTGGTCTGGGAAATGTTTTGTATGCCCTAGTTATTAGTGTAATATTACCAGAGAAAAACCTACGTAAGATTAGGTTAACAATTCTTAACACCTTTTTGGCTATGTAGTTACAGTGGGCTCTAGCACTTAGGTCATTTGAGAGGAGTACTCCAAGATCCTTGACAGAGTTTGGATCATCAACAAGGTCTTGACTATTCAGCCTGTATTTTATTTTCTGATTTATTTTTTTTTGCCAATATGTAGGACAGAGCATTTATTTGTTGAGATTTGAAGTTGCCATTTGTTCCCCAGACTTTGGGGTTGGTGTATAGGCGTTTGAATCCTTTTGGGCTGACCCTTGGGGCCGCTGCCTACGATTCCTGCTTTGTATGAGATTTTTCTTCCTTCCTTCCTTCCCTTCCTCTACCTCTTTCTTTGAGTGATTGTCTTGGAATTTCTGCTTGGATTGTTGTCCCCAATTTTGGTCTGAGTCTGGTGCCGAAGCCAACGATAGACGCCAGACACGAGGTGCAGGTTTTCTGATTGCTTTTTATTGGAGTACTCCAAGGAAAAGGGCTCCTGGTCAAAATGCCAAGAGCCCAGCACAAAGGATTGAGTAAGTTTTATACATTTTCACAAAAAGAGAAGGTGAGACAAAGCAAGATAATAAGAAATTTACATCTAATAAACGTTTTAGTAATAATTCTACAATTTGTTCTATTGGTCTCTAGCTGCCCCTATTCCCAAGTCTTGGCTAATAATGAATGCCCTAAGAGTTATCTAATACACATTTGATTTGCTGCAGGCCATCTCTATTCCTAACTTTTAGCTGAGGTCTGCAAGGTGCCTAACTCGTATTAGTTTCATCAGCTTTCCAATTAGCCAGGAGTGTTACAAAATTTACACATGCATATTTCCTGTGGATAAGCATTTATTGTCCTTGCCAGGCAGACTCCACAATTGCAGACTTCCTGATTTACTTTTTTTTAAAATAAACTTTATTAGTCTTTTATGTCTTTTAAAAACAAAAAGATAATCATTACATTAACAGTTCTGTGACATCAATCGCATACATTTCTATCTTTTGTGCATATTTACAAATATATATAATTTGTGCAAATATATACATTTAATCTATAAACTGCTTATCTTAAATTCCTTCATTTTCCATCTGTCTTAATTCAATCCAATTATATCGTTTTTTTTCCAGATTTTGTAATATTCAGACCAGTGATGGGATTCACATTTTTTTACTACTGATTCTGTGGGCTTGGCTTGGTGGGTATGGCAGGGGAAGGATACTGTTAAATATCCAGTCAGAGGTGGTATTTGCCAGTTCTCCAAAAATTTCCACTGCCGGTTCTCCAGAACTGGACAGAACCTGCTGAATGCCACCTCTGATTCAGACTCATTTTTCTCTTGTGACATTAAGGTCAGTTTGTCCACTTCAGCATGTCATAATTGTTTGAATGATCAATTCATCTGGGGGAATACAATTGTGCTTCCAGCATTGAGCGTAAGTGTCAGCCTTCAAGATTTTCTCTCTTTGCTTTGCATCTTTCGGCTGTCATAAGTAAGGTGGGGGAGGGGGAGAATCATTATGGGAAGTGAGTTGGAGGTGTTACAAACCAGAACTGTATAAACTGGGGGGAGTACATTCTTGCTTAGGTTTCTATTCTGTGCTTAGGTTTCTATTCTATGCTATGCGCAGCTGCAACTCTTTATCAAACTATACCAAGGTCAACGGACAGAAGCTTCATCACCACCTGGAGATGCCCACATGATGATGTTCACAACTTTTAACTGGAGGAACCAATTGAACTATTGGGGGTGGGAACGTTGCCATTACTTTGTATATGTGATTTATGCGCCTATTTTCTCAGATTCAGAATTCTTTTGTTGCTTACCACTTGATTTCCAGTAAAAGATATCTTTTCTCTGATTAAAGGAGTCTAAGTATTTCTTTCCTGGATTTTGAATGGAGCACCAACTGACAGCAAGCTATTCTGGCAGTTGTTAAAATATGTAATACAATATACTTTTTGTTTTTTTCCATATTTCTTTTTAAATATCCCTAACAAGAACAATTCTGGTTCCAATTCTATTTGATCCTTAAGAATTTCTTGCAGCCAATATTTAATTTTAAGCCACTATTTCTAGGCCTCAGGACAAGACCACAACATATGATAGAAAGTACCCTCTTTCTTTCTACATTTCCAACATGCCGGACTCATGTTGGGGTATATCATTGCCAATCTCGCTGGGGGCAGATACCATCTATAGAACATCTTATAAATATTCTCTTTGTATGACACAGATTTTATTAATTTGTAGTTTTGGTTCCAAATACTCTTCCATTCTGTCAAATTTATATTATTTTATAATATAATATAATAATTATATTTATATAATTTATATATTTATATAATTTATATAATATATAATTATATATATATAAATAATAATTTATATTATTTTATAATGTAATACTATTATATTATCTTCCCACATGCCAAAAACTTTAACCTTAGACTGTCTACTATTGACCTCACCCCTTTCCTAAGAGGCCTGTAGGGGGCGTGCATAAGCGCACCAAAACGTGCTTACTGTCCTTGTCCTATTGTTTCTTTATATGTACCCATTTCATGTATCCGTAACTATGTTTATACTTATACCTGTTAACTTATAATTGCTTGACAAAACAAACAAATAAATGTTTTGAGCCCAAGCTCATATACATCCCTCAACAACTTCTTCTAATTCTACCTCTAACCAAAGTTTATACATTTTTGTAATGTTTTTTTCATCTGCACCTAAAAAAATATTATCCAATTGTTGTAATTCTGAATATATTCCAAAATCTTTTATATCTTTTTTATCTATTTTATAGCTGGAGATATGCCCGCCCTGATTTACTTTCAAGTGTGCGTATGACCTGGCTTTATATTTTAGCAGGCAGCCCATCAGGTTTAGGACCTAAACATCTTAAAGGCCGGTCACCCTTCCCCCACCTCACCCCACTTTTAGTTTTCCTCCAGGGAAGCTCCCCACCGGTTGCCTGGCAACCAAAGGCCCAGAGACAGCCAAAGGGCCCGAGCGCAAAGGCTCCGGCGAAACCAGGAAGCGGGCGCTGCTGCCTTTCCCCGGGAAGCCCCTTTCCGGCCGGGGAGGCAAATCTTTCTGGTCCTCGGGCGGCTCTGCTTTGCATACAAGAGGCCGGGTGTCCTCGGAGGAGGCCCGCCCCGCGCGCACCCCGCCTTCTCGGGCGGCTGCGGTGCCGGATGCTGGAGCAGCCGAGACATGGTGGGCGGAGGCGGGAACGCCTCACTACCCACGTCCCCCACCCTAGGACAAGGGCCTCCAACCTCGGCCGCTTGAAGCCTGGAGGACTTCAACTCCCAGAATTCCCCAGCCACCTTGGGAGTTGAAGTCCTCCCGGCTTCAAGCGGCCGAGGTTGGAGGCCCCTGCCCGAGAAAGAGAGCGAGCCTCGTTCGGAGAGCCCATCTCCTCTGCTTCCAGCACGGAAGCAACGCCGGGGCTCCGCTCCCCTGCAGCCGGCAGCAGAAGCAGACCACCCGCCCCAGGACAAACAGCTGCTCCAGCTGCCCTCAAAGGCCGCACGTCCATAAGCGGCCTCGCCCTGGTCCTGCAGGCAGAGCTCCTTTCGCCGGTTGCCAAACCGCAGCGGCCACCCAGGGGCAGAGTTTCCCCGACCACGCAGCCCTTCATCGGGGCTGCTCGGCGGGGAGAAAGACCGAGGCCGCCCCGCCCCGCCAGGCAGGAGCTCCAGGGCGCTTTCGGGGCGCTGCCCGGGCGACGCCGCTCCTTCAGGCGGGAGTCCCCGTGGGTGCAGCCCCTTCCCCGGACTGAGGGTTGTAGGCAAACTCGGCCGCCGTTCCCAGCGCCGTTGCGGGAGGCCTGGGAGGGCGAGGGGGAGGCAAGAGAAGGCGCTCCAGGCCCCGCATCCTTCGCCCTCCAAACAACCCTGCGAGGCAGGCCGGCCCTTCCCAGCCAACCGCCGCCCCGTCTCTTCCGCGGAGACCTTCCCCGACGAGCCCCGGAGGAGGAGGAGGCGGTGCAGGGGGCGGCGGCGGCGGCGGAGGCTCCACCCGGAGAGTCCTCGCCGCTCTATAAAGAGGCGCCCCGCAGGCGGACGGGGACACTTCGGCCCCCATGGAGGCGCCCGGTAAGCGGCGGGGCGGCTCGGGGGTCAGCGGGGCTTCCCTCCGGGCGAGCGGGGCGAGTCGGCAAGGCCTACTGTATCCCGCGGGCAAACCCTCTTCCTCCAGCCTTGGCGCCGCGTGCTGGGTCGGGTAGCGGGCGGGGAAGCGCCGCGCCCTCCCCCGCTTCCTGCCGAGCCTGCTGGCGGAGCGCCACTCTGGGCAGGCCCGTCCCGTCCTCGGGATGCCTTTGCCCGGCCCGTGGGCGCGCCTGCTTCCCCGGCTCGGCCGCCCTCCTAGTTGCGCGCTTCTCTCGGCAGGCTCGGCGTGAGCGAGGGAGGATCGCCGCCCGCGAGAAGCAGCCATGGACCTGGACCGGCCACCGCCGAGCGCCCTGCGCTTCCCCGGCTGGAGCGAGTCCTCGCTGCCCTCAGCCCGCGGCCGGGCGGAGCCTCCGGAAAGCGGCTACCCGAGCCTGTGCGGCTACAGCCTGGAGAGCGGCGGAGAGTCCGGCGGGGCCGCCCAGTCCGGCCCGTGGAGCCCCCCGGAGCGGGGCCGAGCGGAGAGGCGGAGGAAGGTGGAGTTCTTCCGCAAGCTGGGCTACTCCTCGCAGGAGGTGCTGGGCGCCCTGCGGAAGCACGGCCCGGAGGCGGACACCAACACCATCCTCGGGGAGCTGGTGAAGCACGGGGCGGCCCCGGGCGAGAGGGAGAGGGAGCCCGCCCCGGAGGCCTCCGAGGCGGCGCTGCTGCTGCCGCCGCCGCCGCCGCTGCCGCTTTCGAGCAGCCTGCCAGCCCAGCCGGACGAGCAGGAGGGGGACCATCTGCGGCCGGTTGTGATCGACGGGAGCAACGTGGCCATGAGGTATGGCGGGGCGGGCGCCTCTCCGCGTTGGGGCGCAGTTGGGCGGGGGGGAAAGGCTTGGCGGGGCTGACCGTAAGGACGAGGCCTCTCGTGAAGGGCGACCTTTGCCTCTCTCTCTCCTGGTTCTCGGGACTTCGCTAGAGCGGGTGCCCTTCTGTGCCCTGCCGCTTGCGTGGTCGCGGATTCACACCCTTCGGGTTCAAGCAAAGGCCCCGTCACAGCGCTCGATCCTTGTAGGGCAGGGGTCCCCAAACTTGGCCACTTGAGGACTTGTGGACTTCAACTCCCAGAATTCTCCAGCCAGCTATGACTTGAATCCACCAGTCTTAAAGTGGCCGAGTGTGGGGACCCCCGGTATAGGATCCCTGGCTTGAACAGGGGTTGGACTAGAGGACCTCCAAAGTCCCTCCCAACCCTATGATCATATACTCTTTATTAGCTATGCTGGCTGGAGAATTCTGGGGGTTGAAGTCCACCAGTCTTAAAGTGGCAAAGTTTGGGGAGCCCTGGCTGTAGGAACTTGAGGAGGAAGGGGCAGGCTGCGCCCAGAGAGGCAGCTTTGGCCTTGGGAGGTGAACTGGTTTGGAGTGAGCTGCTTCCAGGCTCAGGCTTGGCAGACCCAGTGAGAGCGGCCCTCAGAAAACAGAGATCTTGGGATCTGGTTCTGATCTGGAGTGGGAAACAATGGAGGATGCACAATGGAGAAGGTAGAGACTGAACCCCCTATAATGTCTCTGCTTTGGCTTCCTTCCTTCGTAACCCTACGGGGGGCAATAAGTGATTTTATCTTCTTGGGAATTTAATAATGGTTGATTGCTGGATTTTGATCATACTGTAAAGCAATGTGATGAGATTTGACAAATGGTTTTTGAGCATGTGAGAGGTCTGCTTGGGATCCTCTGCAATTCCCCTCTGTGTAAGGCCCAGACTCTCCCCCACCCCCCTTCAGACAAGAAGAATGAACTTTTGAAAACTGGGTATTTGAAAAGGAAGATAGCCAGGTGATTTTCAAAGCAGGGTCTGATACCCTTCCAGGCATGCAGCTTAGATAAAGGGAGTTGGAACCCCTCCCCTTTGTTTAGTTTAGTTTACTTTATTGTCATTGCACCTTGTACAACTGAAATCAAACACCATCTTCAGTGCACATCATGACCATGAAAATAAACACAAACACACATCTGCCACACTCCACACATTGAACCGAAAACCCCCAACACTGCACTAACACTGCACTATACAGTAGAATTCAAAAGAGTTACTGCCCTGGGATAGAAGCTGTTTTTCAGCCTATTTGTGCTTGTTTTTATTATCCTGTACTGTCTGCCAGATGCTAAGAGTTTTAAAAAAGGGTGCCCAGGATGAGATGGATCTTTGAGAATGTTTTGAACTTTCTTAAGACAGCTGTAAAGCTCTTCCAAAGAGGGGAGAGGGCAACCCATGATCTTCTGGGCAATGACGTTAACCCTCTGGAGCGCTTTCCTATCTGCCCCTGTGCAATTGGCAAACCATACACAGGTTGCACAGTAAGTTAAGATACTCTCTGTGGTGCAGCGGTAGAAGGTCACCAGCAGTTTTTCATCCCGTTGTTATTCAGTTTCATTCAATTGTCCGGTGTGGATTTGGTCAATACTAAAGAAGCAACATGTTCCTTCCCCCACCCACCCCTTTTCTGAGAACGTAGCTGGAAAGAACTTTCCAGGAAGTTTCTTTCGGAAGGAGCTGGAATCTTTATAGCCCCTTCTCCGCTTGCTATTTCTCCCAGAGGTCACAAGTTTCCAGGAATTTGGGGGCGGGGGGAGGAGGAGGAGACGACTCCAGCCCACAGTTGCATGTCATGTGCAAGTTACACAGATTCAATACAAGACTTAAGATATTCAGGTTACATCAAAAAGGATTACTTGTATCAAACACCCACCCGCATCTTTCTTCTTCCATTGTAGAATGGCAGATAGACGGATCTGACACTCTGTCTCTGAAGCAGGAAGGATTTTGCTGGGGGGGCGGGGGGGGGGGGGGGGGGAGCCTGTGGACATCGTCTTGACTGGGCAACCAGTCTTGTGGTCCAGGCGGCTCTGCCTTGGCTCTGTTGGGGGAGGGGGGAGGGGCATTCTTCCTTATCTAAACAGGAAGGAAGCCAGCACAGGTTAAAGGTGCACGTGACTCGAGCACCGAGTGCCTGGAGGAGCATTTCTCTCATCCTCCCGAGGTGCCTCCCACTACCCCCCCCCCCCATTGGCCCCCCGGGGGGAACGGAAAAGGTTGGGGCCCCAACAGGGGCGGGGGGGGGGGGGGGGGAGCGGGACGGACGGACACATTTTGGTTTTGAGGTGAAAGCTCTGCTTCCTAGAACAACCATGTCCCAGGATTCTTAGACAGGTTGGAAATATAGTAGTCCTCAATTGACAAGCACAGCTGAGCCCAAAATTTATGTTCTAAGTGAGTTTTGCCCCGTTTTATGACCTTTCTTGCCACAGTTGTTAAGTGAGTCACTGCAGTTGTTAAGTGAGTAACCCGGTTGTTAAATGAATCTGCCTTCCCCCATTGGCTTTGCTTGCCAGAAGGCTGCCCTTGACCCTGGGACCCTGTCACCGTCATAAACCCGAGTCAGTTGGCAAGCGTCCGAATTTTGATCATGGAACCAGGCGGATGCTGCAATGACCGCAAGTGTGATAAACGATCCTAGGCCACTTTTTTCAGTGCTGTTGTAAAGTTTGGTCGCTAAGTGGATTGTTGAAAGTCGAGGACTTCCTGTACACGAAAGGGCAAGGATTCATGAACCTTTAGCCTGAGCTCTAGCTGCTGAAGCGGGGGGGGGGGGTTTGCCCTTAGGGTGCTGGAAGATGTTGTGCCCCCTCCCTAGCGCCGCCATCAGCCGGGTTAAGCGCCGAACCTCCAACCCACCTGGCAAGCCTCCTCCTATCACCAACTGATCCCACGAGGCTGGCGGGCGGGTGGAGGGGGTGGGGGCTGCAGAAATCCGGACCGCCCCCAGATAGCAGGAAAAAGACAAGCGAGCCCTAATTCTGCTCTTGGCGCCCAGGCCTGGTCGCCTGCCCCGTGGGGAGAGGCCAGCCAGCATTGTGACCTCTGCCCTTTCCTTGCCGTGTTTGAGATAAGCCCAATTGCTCTCCCGCCGTAAATGCCAGCCAGAGGGCACTTTCTGGGAAAGGGAGGGCGGTTCTGAGCAGTGCCTGGAGCAACAGAGACGGAGTTTCTGAACCCTCTCTCTTCAAGGGGTGGGGGAGGCGGGGAAACGAAGGGGAATTTTTACAGGCTGCTTCCTGCATGAGTGGGGTGACAAAACAGTTCCTCACCGATTCACCCTTGCTTAGATAATACTCTGGCAGGTTTATGCAAATCTCGGAGGGGCGTGTAGAGCGCAATTGTGCCCGACTTCCTCCTACAGGGATTTCTCATGTCTGTTGCCACATCAGGTGAACTACTTGGACCTTTTTCTCTTCGGCTGAGAACGGGGAAACGTGGGAGAAGATCTGTCCCTGGTATTCCTTGCTCATCCTGCACGGCACTTTCAGGGCGTTGGGGTGAGGCAGGAAGGGCCTGGGTGGCTGGGGAGCTTTGTGGAGGGGGCTGCTTTTCAGGAAAAGTAGCAACGGGAGCTGTAGTCTCCCCTTCCTGATTTCACTGCTGCTTTTTCTAACGCTGGACCCAGGAACTAACAGAATAACAGAGTTGGAAGGGACCTTGGAGGTCTTCTAGTCCAACCCGCCTGCCTAAGCAGGAGACCCTATGCCATTCCAGACAAGTGGCTGTCCGGTCTCTCTTTTTTAACAGCCTCCAGTGATGGAGCAACCACAACTTCCGACTAAAAGACTAACCTTCATAACAGCCCTCCCTCTGAGAAGAGCCCTGGGGGGCTGAGGAGCAAGTGCCAGCCTTGCCATTTCTTTCACTTGATCTGTGTGAACTGCATGTTAAATTGGGTGCTGCTAGGATAGAACTGGCATTAAACATTCACCCAGGGGCAAGGGATGTTCTCCTGCTTGCTCTAAGCCAGGGGTGTCAAACTCAAGGCCCGTGGCCCGGATCAGCCCGCAATGTGATCAGATCTGGCCTGCATGGCTGTCCTGGAAACGTCTCTCCGGCCCATCCCATCCCGGTGGGCGCATAGGAGGCAGGAGGCTCTCAGGCCCAGCCCACATCATCCCAGGGCGTGCGCGCAATAGGAGGGCGCATGAGCTCACAGACACGCCCATGCCCTTCCAGCTACAAGTATTTTCTGTGATTTCCATGCGTGACGAAGGGTTGGGGGAACTGGGTATGTGTGGGCGACTGAAGGGAAGGATTAGGGGGTGACGTGACCGCTGTCTTCCAGTACTTGAGAGGAGCTGATATAAAAGCATATCAGACCCTTCCCCACCAGGCATTCACTGGCCACTCCCAGCCCCCCATTCAACCCCTCCCAGTCCAAGGCTTAAGGGAAGAGCCAAGTTTTTACAGCCTTCCAGAAAACTAAAAAGGATAAGGCCCATCTCAGGAGGAGGTTATTCCAAAAGTCCAGGCAGCTACCAAGAAGGTGCACCTCTAATGTTCCAGCAGATAGTAGCCTTTGAGGAAAGGGACCCGGAGCATGCTACCCCTGGCAGGTATACTCTGGGGGAAGGGATGACCAGCACCTTGAGTCATGCAGGAGCCAGGGCAATTCATGCAAGGGGGGGGGGGCAATGGGGGCAAACTCTGAAGTGCCCGGCACTGGGCATGGGTGATTTTCAAAGGCAGCCCCATCTAGTGTGCAGTGTAGTAGTCCAGCTAAGAAGCGACTGCTGGCAAAACCAGTTTTGCTCTAGGGGTTTTCTGTAGGAATTAGGAGCTTTGTGTTGTGTGGGGAAAGGATGGTGGGGCGTGTGAAGGGAAGGAGTTTTTCGTTTGGATGAAGCTGAAAGGAGTTTCGAGTGGGACCATGATGAGCCTTTGACTGGAAAAACTGCCGTGAGGACTGGTGATGTGCAAGGTTTGGTCTCATCCCAGGAGCTGCTTTAATGAGACGGGAGTCACTCCACCCGTCAGGGAAAGTCCTCCTGGTTCCCTTAGGGGGCTGGAGACGAGAACATATGAAGAACAGTTGCAGGAACTGGGCCTGGCTAGTCTGGTGAAGAGAAAGGACCAGGGCAGACAGGATAGCAGTCTTCCAGTATTTGGGGGGGGGCTGCCCCAGAGAGGAGGAGGGGGTCAAGCTATTTTCTAAAGCACCTGAAGGCCAGACAAGGAACAATGGATGGAAACTGATCCAGGAGAGATTCAACCTAGAACTAAGAAACTTTCTGACAGTGAGAACAATCAACCCATGGAACAGAAGTTGCCTTCGGAAGTTGTGGGAGCTTCATCACTTGAGACTTTTAAGAAGAGATTGGACTCCCATCTCTCAGAAATGGTGTAGAGCGCGGGGGGGGGGGGGGGGGCGGGGGAATTGGACTAGATGACCTGCAAGGTCCCTTCCAACACTGATTATCTGTTATCTGGTTTTAAATGGACTTGCAGAGCTGGCTCTGTGTGAACTAAGCCCTGAGGCTCAGTTCCTCCAGATGGCAGCCCTTCTTTCTGCGGTTCAGACCTTTCCTTCCTCTATTGCTTTGGCCATCTTATTGGTGCTGACACGGAACATTAACTTATCTTTCCAGAGAGGGGTTTGAGTAGGGAGACTAGCAGGGGGGGACAGAACAGGTGGGGGCGGGGGGGCACTTTTGGAGGCAGTGCAGGGAAGGACCTGCTGCAGCTACACCCAGCCCTGTCAAACTTCGTAACAAACCGCTTGTATCTTCCAGTAAAACTCTCATTTCAGAACAGCTCTTGGTTTTTTAAATTGCAGTGCCATTGTTTTCTGGCAGTTGTCAAAGAGATAGGAGAGTGAAAAAGTAGTTTTAGGAGAGTAGAAAAGCAGTTTTACTGCTGAAAGTAAAACTGCACACATGCAAAGGGCTTGCGCTGTCATGCTGAAGAGGATAGAAACTATGGGATGGTATAGAGGGGCTTTGGAGTTCCCTTCTCTTTGCCAGAGGGGGACAAGGCATCTCTCTGGCAGAAGAGGATCTTCAGGTAACCGTGGAGAATTGGGAGGTCTTCAACCCTTTCCCCAAGTATTTAGCAGATACATTGTCAGAAATGAAGCTGCATTTGCCTGGAGGGAAGGTCTTTTAGAGTAAGTAACACGATGCAAAAAGTGGCTGAGAAACAAGGGAGCAAAGGCGATTAAAAGCAGGAGATAAAGAGAAACAAGGAAGGAAACCGAACTGCTCTATGTCAACATCATCTGCTGATGTTTTTCCAATTTTTTTTCTAGTTTGCCAATAGACCCCCTTGGGGTGTTGCCTTTTGTGCCTCAAACTTCTCGTTCTCCTCAAGAATCTCACCTTTTCTCAGGATCCTGACTCAAACATTTGTTTTCAAGTTCCATCTTTATTCATTCTTTCAATGAGAACATAGTGATAAGGGCATCACATTTCTATTCGCATACTCAGGCTCTCAGCCTAGGAAAAAATACATCCACAGCTAACACACCTCAGAGCCACCCCAAACACACCTTTCACATTTTCCAAATGCCAAGTCCTCCTCGTCTCCCTCTCAGCCAGCGCTGAGCCACTTCCCTTCAATCCCAGCCACGCTTTGTGGTTCTTACTGCATTCCACATTCCTCCATATTCTCCTAAACCATCCCGTAATGCAAGCCTATTCACAACATTATGCTGCTCTGAATCATAAATAATTGAAAGCACTTCCTTATATTCATATATTTCTCACGACCAGCTAAAAGGCAAAGGGGGGCTTCCTACACCCTAGCAAAAAGTTTGCAGTGTGCTCCCTTATCAGCCTGGCCTCCCACGGGATTTAGCAGGGGCCCCCCCGAGGAGAGAGAGGGCTAGCCCCCCTGGAACCAAGAGAAGGTCTTGGCACCTGGGAAGAGAGGCAGAAAGCTGTGAAAGAAAAGGGAGTGGGGAAGGAGGTGAGGGCGCCTCCCACGCATCTCGAAGGGAGGGTCAGCAGAACAGCCCTCCAGGCTGAAGAGGAGGGGAAGAGGTAAAACAGGTAGGGATAGGTGAGAAGGCCACAGTGGTTTTCAAGAACACAGTGTTTTTCCCTGTAGGTTTATCATTCATCTAAGACAATTGGAATTAGGTGTGCCTAGTCTAGTGACAAGGAGCGCTAGGGAGGATATGATTCGGGGCTGCCACAAAGAATAGGATTGGATAAGGAATAGGATAAGGAATAGGATAGGATAGAGAATAGGACTAGAATAAGGACTAGACTAGAACAGAACAGAATAGAATAACAGAGTCGGAAAGGACCTTGGAGGTCTTCTAGTCCAACCCCCTGCTTAGGCAGGAAAAACCCTATGCCATTTCAGACAAGTGGTTATCCAATCTCTTGCTAAGTGTTGGAGCATTCACCACTTCTGGAGGGCAGTTGTTCCACTGATTTATTGTTTTAAGTGTCAGGAAATTTCTTCTTAGTTCTGGGTTGCTTCTCTTCTTGATTAGTTTCCACCTGTTGCTTCTTCTTGTCCTGCCCTCAGGCGCTTTGGAGAATAGCTGGACTCTGACTCCCTCTTCTTTGGGGCAGCCCCTGAGATACTGGAAGACTGCTGTCAGGTCTCCTCTAGTCCTTCTTGTCATTAGATTAGTTATTCCTAATTCCCGCAACCATTCTTCATGTTTTTAGCCTCGAGCCCCCTAATCCTCTTTGTTTTTCTTCTCTGCACTCTTTCTAGAGTCTCAACCTCTTTTTTACATCATGGCAACTAAAACTGAATGCAGTATTCTAGGTGTGGCCTTACCAAGACATTATAAAGTGGTATTAACACTTCACGTGATCTAGATTCTATCCCTCTGTTAATGCAGCCTAGAACTGTGTTGGCTTTTTTGGCAGCTGCAGCACTCGGCTGGCTCATATTTAAATGGTTGTCCACTAGGACTCCGAGATCCCTCTGACAGCTACTACTATTGAGCAAGGTACCACATATACTGTACCTGTGCATTTGATTTTTCTTGCCTAAATGTAGAACCTTACTTTTTTCACCATTGAATTTCATTTTGTTAGATAGTGCCCAATGTTCAAATCTGTCAAGATCCTTCTGTATCTCAAGCCTATCTTCTGGAGTGTTGGCTATTCCTGCCAGCTTGGTGTCATCTGCAAATTCGATGAGTTCTCTCTATATCCCCTCATCTAAATCATTGATGAAGATGTTGAAGAGTACTGGGCCTAAAGCAGAGGTTTGCGGTACCCCACTGCATGCTTCCTTCCATGTAGATGCAGTTCCATTGAGGGCTACATATTGAGTATGCTTGGTTAGCCAGTTACAAATCCATCTGGTGGTGATGCTGTCTAACCCACATTTTCTATCTTATCAAGTAGTAGGTTATGGTCTGAAGCCCAAGTAAATTATATTGACAGCATTCCTCTGGTCCACTAATTTTGTCACTTTGTCAAAGAATATGGTAAGATTTGTCTGGCATGATCTCTTTTTGACAAACCTATGTTGGCTTTTGGTTATTACTTTGTTTGCTTCTAAGTGTTTGCTGATTTGCTTCTTGATTATCTGTTCCTGGTATTGAGGTCAGGCTGATAGGTCTGTAGTTTCCTGGATCCATTTTTATTCCTTTTTTGAAGATGGGAAGTACATCAGCCCTTTTCCAGTCCTCTGATAGTTCCCCAGTGCTCCAGGATCTTTAAAAGATATAGTTCAGTGGTTCTGAGATCTCGTCTGCCAGTTCCTTCAGAACCTTGGGGTGTAATCCATCCGGTCCAGTTGATTTGAACTCGTCTAGGGTAAACAGGTGCTCACTTGCCATTTTCTTCCCTATTTTAACTTGTGTTCCTATTCTGTTTTTTTTTTTTTTTGTGGTGCTGTTTTTGGTAGGTTGGACTGTTTTTTCTCTTTGTGGAAAGACAGGTGTCAAAAAACAGGTTAAGTAGTTCTGCTTTCTTCCTATTGCTTGTCACCTTCCTGCCACTTTCTCCCACCAATGGACCAATTGTTTCCTTAACTTTTTCCTTGTTTTTAACATTTTAGAAGAAACTTTTTTTGTTATCTTTTTACTTTTGCCCCAAGCCTTTGTTCATTATGAGCCTTGGCTTTCTTCACTTCATCTCTGCAGGCTCCGGCTATTTGCTGATATTCTGCCTCAGGTATGTGGCTCTCTTTCCCCTTTTAATACTTGTCCTCTTTGTCTTTCAATTTATCAGAGTGCTCTTTATGCAGCCCTGCTAGTTTCTTCTGAGAGCTGTTATTTGTCTTCTTCACTGGTATTATGTTAGACGAGGAGTTTATAATCTCACTTTTCAAAATTTCCCAAGCTGCTTGTTTTTCCTTCAGGATTCTCACCCATGGAATCTTTCCCACACTCTCTCTAAGTTAGAGAGAGAGTCAATCTATTATCCAAAGCACCAGAGGGCAAGACTTGCCTTGGATGGAAACTAAACAAGGAGAGAAGAAACCTAGAACAAAGGAGAAAATTTCATGACAGTGAGAACAATTAACTAGTGGAACGGCTTTGCCTTCAGAAGTGCTCTATCACTGGAGGTTTTTAAGAAGAGATTGGCCAGCCATTTGTCTGAAATGGTATAGGGTCTCCTGCTTGAGCAGAGAGTTGGATTAGAGAACCTCTAAGGTCCCTTCCAACCCTGTCACTTTGTTATTCTTGTTACAATCAGAGTCCCATTTTCTGGCATGGTTGAATGAATCTGGACCCAGATTTCTCTCCACCCATGAGCCAACTTAGCTTGATTGTGAATGGCAGAAGGGCAGCAGTGAAGCATTAACTCGCGGGACCCTTTGGAAAGGCTACCCCTCACTTATGGCTGCGCAAGGCCTGCCTACGAGATCAAGCAGGGAAGCCCTCTGAACCTGCAAGTCTCTTTCCTTTGCAGCCACGGAAACAAAGACAGCTTCTCCTGCCGAGGCATCCAGCTGGCTGTGAACTGGTTTCTGGATCGTGGACACAAGGATGTCACAGTCTTCGTCCCGTCTTGGAGGAAAGAGCATCCACGCTCTGATGTCGCCATTACAGGTAACAAGGTGGCCTTGGGCAGCTGCCCATCCTGCATTGACGCAGGCTAGTGGTGCCTCTCTCTTAGGAGGGGGAGGTACTTGACCGAGGTGGGACATGCCGCTTCTTATCCCTCTGGTGGGACTTTTGCTTCTCGTTGGCTTTAAGAGGCCGCTCCCCGAATGCTGCTGCTGGCCAAAGCATCAGGGAAGACTGTGGGCATCACTCAAGTAGACAGCCCTGTTTCTGGAAGTCTTATCACCTGAACGCTTGACAGCTTCTAATGGCAAAAGTCGTGTTTGCAGATTTTTTTTTTTTTAAAAAAGGCTACAGCATTTTTAGGGGATTGATTTGTATTCTTGACCTTCTAAAGCAGGGTCTCCAACCTTGGCAACTTTAAGACTGGTGAACTTCAACTCCCAGAACTCCTCAGCCAGCTATTCTGAGAGTTGAAGTCTACAAGTCTTAAAGTTGCCAAGGTTGCAGCCCCGGCTCTAAAGCATAGTCGCGTTTAGACATTTAAATTAAGAGCAAAGCTATGGGAAGCAGCGTCTGGAAGAAAACATGGAAGAGGAGGAGGGACGTCTAGGCCAACAAGAAAGACTAGAACAGCGGTGACAAACCTTTTTGTTGTGGTGTGCCAAAAGCGCACACGTGTGCCAACACCCACAATGCAATGTGCCCCCCATGCATGCACGTGCAACATCCCTGCCCTGTCGCCTTACCTGCACTGCACATTCACACACCTCCCAGCTGATTTTCATTCCGTTTGAGGCTGTTTTCGCCCTCCCAGGGACTCGTGGCCAGCCTCTGCAGCCTCGGGAGGCTGAAAACAGGCCCATTTCAGCACTTCTGGTACTTCCGGAAGGCCCATTTTTCAGCCTCCTGAGGCTGCAGAGGCTTGCCAACAGCCTCTGGGAGGGCGAAAATGGCCTCAATTGGGCCGTAAATCAGCCGGGAGGCACACCCAGGCACAGTGCAGGTAAGTTTGGCTAGGCTCGCGTGCCCTAGGCTTGCCATTACGGGACTAGAAGAGAGGGAGGGCATGATTTGGCAGACCACACCTTGAGATCAGCCAAGGGCTTCTTCCTGCCAAGGGGCTCTTTGGGGCACCCCCAGCTTGGCCACCTGATCGTTCCTCTGTAAGAAGCTTCAGTGGGGATGACTTCACCCCCCTCTTCCTGCAGACCAGCACATCCTCCATGACCTGGAGAAGAAGAACATCCTCGTGTTCACTCCTTCCCGGCGAGTGGCAGGCAAGCGAGTGGTCTGCTACGATGACCGCTTCATTGTGAAGCTGGCCTGGGAGTCAGACGGTATTGTGGTCTCCAACGATGTCTACCGGGACCTGCAAGCAGAACGGCCAGAGTGGAAGAAGTTCATTGAAGAACGCTTGCTGATGTACTCCTTTGTCAATGACAAGTAAGTCCTTGGTCTTGGGGAAGGCGGGAGGTGGGCCATGCGGCTGGCCGGGGTTCTGGGGGGGCGGGGGGTGAAGAGCAACCCCCAAGGCTATGCCTGAGAATTCTGAAGTCCCTGGCTGTCCTAGCGCCCTTCTAATTTGCAGCCCGCCTGCTTCTTCAGCTTGAGCCGACACCGTTGCCTATTCAGAGTTCTGCAGCGTTAGTTCAGCGCCAGAAAAATCAACACAGATGGCTGATGCTTGTCTTTATAATCGTAACAAGCAGATTTTACAAACCAGTTGTAGATTTCTCCAACATGGAGCAAACTCAGGTAGAAACATGTTGCAAGTAACTTCAGCAGCTCAGAAACAGACATCAGTTTCACTTGAGTTCAGCAGTTTTTAGTTCAGCAGAGGAAAGAAAGTTTTTAGTTCAGCAGTTTTTAGTTCAGCAGAGGAAAGAAGCGGTTTCATTCTGAACAGACAGACTCAGAGCTCAACAGAGCTGCAGAGCTTAATACAGAACCCCATGCCTAGGCTACTTCCAGTTTCAGTTTCCAAACAGTCCTCATTGGCTGACTTAGTTGCTGTGCCTATTCCTTGGCTGACCTTGTTAGCATGCTCTATTCCAGTTCACGAATAGACTCCGACAATGCCCAGCAGAGTCTCCCGAATCTCTGCCGAGCTTCCCAGGCCCCCTAGGTTCCTCCCTTCTAGCCAGCCTTTCAGGAGGCGATGGAGTTGGCGGGACTCCCAGCCTGATGGCACGCACTGCCGTGGCCCTGGCAGATTGGGAAGGGCTAGGCCTGGCCTGAGCACCTGCAGCTCCTGATGGATGTGGTTCCTCTGCTCCCCAGGTTCATGCCTCCCGATGACCCCTTGGGACGCCATGGGCCCAGCCTGGATAATTTCCTGAGGAAGACCCCAGCAATGCCCGAGCACAAGAAGCAGCAGTGCCCCTATGGTGAGGCCCCTCGCCTCTGCTTGAGGCAGAGCAGCTTGAAGGGTTTGGGGCGGAGGACGCCTGTCACACAGCTCCCCCTTTCTCTTTGCAGGCAAGAAGTGCACCTACGGAATCAAGTGCAAGTTCTACCACCCTGAGCGGCCACACCAGCTGCAGCGCTCTGTTGCCGATGAGCTCCGGGCCAATGCCGGGCTCTCCCCCACCAGGGCTGTGCCAGCCACCAAGGAGGAGAGGAGTAGCTGGAGGCCTCCCTACGGGGAGTTCTGGGCCTCTGCCCCTGCGGAGAGTGAGACAGTTCCCCTGCAGAAGGCCTTGGCTGAGAAGACGAGCTCTGCCCACCACGTTAGGCATGGAGACATGTCGCCCGTCTTCCTCCCAGCCCGGAAGGGCCACCGTTACAGGAGTTCAGATCAGTACCAGCAGCCTCCCAGGGACTCCCTTCCCCATGTCTCCCAAGACCACCTTGACTCGGGCCTCGGCTCCCTTGAGAGCCAGCTCTCTGAGATGTGGCCCGGTCCTGTCAAGTGGGCCCAGCAGGAGCCGCCTGGGGGCGGGAGCAGCTGCAGGGGGCAGGGGCCTGCCTATCGCATCCCTCTCAGCCCAGAATCCAGGAGGTACAGCCAGTACGTGCCTCAGAGCTTCCTGTCTTCCCCGTCTGGCCAGGTCGCTCCGCACTCCTTTCCTGGCTACGAGGTGGCCACCAGTGCTTCTCTGGGCCCCGGGCGTGAGTACTGGTCTGAGCCGTACCACCCGGGGCCTGCCATGTGCCAAGACCTGCCGAGGGCTCCCTGCCTGGCCTACGAGGACTCCTCACGCCACTGGGCCACCCCGGACAGCTTTGCAGAAGAGCGTACGAAGGTGCACCTCAAACTTTGTGGGATCTTCCATCCTCACCTGGTGGACACCGTCATGAGCCGCTTCCCACACCTTTTGGACCCTCAGCAGCTGGCTGCCGAGATCCTCACGTACAAGACACAACACCCTGGGGTGTGACACGGCTGGAGAGGGGACGCCCAACTCTAGGGGTGGGGCCGGGGCAGAACGTCCTTTGCTGCCTGCAGTTTAGGCCATCGTCCAGCGGCCACCCCTTGAGGGCAGGCACCAGCCTTGGTGGTGGCTCAGGGGGGATGAAAAGGCCTGCCAAGAAATCGGCCCGGGAACCACAATGCTGAGCCGTTTTCTCATGATGCATGAAGGCTGGCTGGCTGGCTTGTGCCAGGGCAGAGTGCAGGCAGCAAGGCCTTGCTGGCACTGAGTGAGTCTTTTGCTCCTTTCAGTGGCTGCTCGGAAGGGGTTGATATGGAAAGGAACATGGAGCAAGCCCCAAGCTCTCTGGCCAGGCACAGCCAGAACTGGAGCAGGCCAGAGAAGAAGGTTCTATGATTTACAACCGTAGCCGTTCCCCCAAATGGCTACCAGGGGATATCTAGCTGGTCACAGAAGAAATCCGAGGGAGGAAAGAGTTCCAGGCACCGTGGGGAATGAACTGAATCTGACCTGCAGCCTGTCTGCCCTGTTGACAGGGGGCCAGGAAATTCTTCCTTCTTCAGCCCGAGGCAGACAGCAGCCCAGTGGGGACCGTGGTGGTCTCTCCTCACTGCAGAATTGGAAAACCGTTCTGGGGTCCATTACCCAGGTTTGGGGGTGATTGTCCAGCGGTCTCCTTTCCCTTAGTTTAGAACCTTCTTGGGTTGTGAAGCAAAACCTTCGTTTCAAGCCCAAATTCAGCTGTCATTTCTGTTCCCCAAAGTTCTGTATTATTACTCTCCTAGGCCTCCGTGTTATTTCTTCTCTCCTGGAACAAGCCATTGGGGCGCTCTGCACCCCTTCTCCTCCTCCTCTAGTGCTGCTGGCGGCAGGCAAGTCCCGCACGCAGGGCGCCTGATACTCTCTTTGGAGGGTTGTGGCTGCTGCCTGGAGCTGGAGCAGCCGTGCTGAAAATGCATCTTAGCATTATAAACAAGTTTATATCTTAAGCTCAGATGTCACAAATCCCAAGGCTAAACGCAAAATGCATTAATGGGAAGCCAGGAGGGTCTCCAGGAAAGAGACTTGTTTTAATAAACTGTTGGGGAACCTCTTTAGCGTCAGCTGTTTGGGGCAACTTGCTTGCTTGCTGACTGAAGACGACAACCACCACTTTGTCAGTGGTTGTAGAAAGGCCCACTGGAAACTTGGGGGGGGGGGCGGGGGGGGGTGTTTAGCTTATCTTTTTCTATCAGCTCAGTCTTGAGGATTGGTAAGTCCAGGACGGGCAGTTACAGATCCTTCGGTAATGAATTTGCAACAATTGTTCCCGGTCCTGCCCTTTTTAAAGATAAGTGATTGACTTGCAGGCCGGGCTCAGTTGATCGGTTGATGCACATTGCATCGGTCTCTCAAGTGGTTCTTTGGAGTAGCTGATGCTGAAGTCGTCCCAGGAGCTGCTGCTTGGGGGAGAAGCCGGGCAGCAGAAGTCCCCGTGGGCAGCTGGCCACGCCACCCGGCCCTGCGGCTCTCCCTGGCAAGCGCCCTGGAGATCGTCAGCCATGCCAGCACTATGTGCTGATGAGGCCACACGGCCAAAGAAACCCTGTTTTACCTGGTTAATTATGATCCATCACAGAATTGTGGTGCTTCGCATTAGTAAGCAAAATGCTTTTTAGTAATCACGTATAATCTTACAACTTTGCACACTTGTAAATTACAAGAGTCGTAGTTGTTAATGAAACGTTTTCTAAGCCGAGGCTGCTTTGGTGATGATCGCTCTCCCTTTTGTTCTGCCCTAGGCAGAGTTGCAGTTGAGTAAAAAAATAAATAAACCAACCTTGAACCTCGGAAGGGCTGTCTCTTTTCTTCAATGGCGGAGTCTCTTTCCAAATGCTAAAACCGCTCTTTGCTCTTGTTCTTCAGCTGCTATAAACCTCCTCCAGGAGGGTGGGGCGCAAGTCCCCTCTGCCACGCCCCAGAGGCTTCGGAAGGAGGCCATGGGATGCTAGGAAGGCCCCAGGAACGTGTCTCCCCCCCCCTCCAGGATAGCTGAGGCCAAACCCATCTCCCAGTAAGTCAGCCCAGTAACCGAGTGGGCCTGCATCCAGAGGCGGAGGGCGTAAGGAAGAGCTGCTTTACGACCTGGTGCTTTGAACCATGTCCTCTCCTATGGCCACCCTAAGATAGGAACAGGCCATCCAGCTTGTGCTAGATGATTTGCAAAGCAGTTCACACATTAGTTCGCTGCATGTGGAACAGTGATAGTATTCAGCCGGTTCTCACTGGTTCAGGCGAACCTGCAGCGATGATTTGGCGTGGGTCGCCGAATCGGTAGTGACTTCTGGCTGGCCCTGCCCCCAACCCAGTCGCCACTCGCTCACCCCGCCCCCTGATGCTTGCTCCTCACCTATGTGGCACCCTGGGTCCTTGTGGTTTGTCTTTAACCTGCCTTCCCATGTGGTGCCTGCGCCCCAACTGAGCAGCCCTGATCTTCCTGCTCAGGGGTAAGCCTGCGAGTCGCACTAGCCCCCCACCGTCCCTGGAACTTGCCGAGCCCCCCGTCCCCCGTCCCCACTGTTCAGCTGGCTGGCTTTCCCACCTGCATAGCCCCATCCCAGGCGCTGGCGCTGGCTGCGGCCTAGCTAGCTGCCTTTCCCTACTGTCCCTGGGATCAGCTGGCTGGCTAAGCGGCCACACGGTGCTCTCCCAGCGCTCCCTACCACGTGGCGGCCATGGCGCAGCTCTCTGGGAGGGAGGGCGGATGTCCCGGGGCTGCCTCCCATAGCAGCACTGCCCCTGCCACTTGCTTCCTTTCAACCCCCGGGAGAAGCGAGTGGCAGTGGAGGTGCTGCAATGAGGAGAGCAGGCAGATCTCCTGGGGCTGCCAGAGCTCGCCAGAGCAGTCCGTCTCAGACTAGGTCTCTGTGTGTGTGAGAGAGAGAGAGACAAAGAAAGAAGGAAAAAAAGGAAAGAAGAGAGTGGTGTGTGTGAGAGAGAGAGAGAAGAAAAGAAAGCAAGAAAAGGAAGAGAAGAAATAGGAAGGGGAAGAGAGTGCGTAGTGTGTGTGAGAGGGGGAAGAAAAAGCAAGAAAGGAAGAAGAAAAGGAAGGAGAGGTGTGCGTGTGAGAGAGAAGAAAAAGCAAAAGAGGAAGAATTAAAGAAAAATAGGAAGGGGGAGAAGGTATGCGATGCATATGTGAGAGAAAGAAGGAAGGAATGAAGAGAGAAGTCAGAGAAAGAAAAAGAAATAGGAAGGGAGGGTGTCAAATGGTGCTCCATTCAAAATCCAAGAAAGAAATACTTAGACTCCGTTAATCAGAGAAAAGATACCTTTTACTGGAAATCAAATGGTAGCAACAAAAGAATTCTGAATCTGAGAAAATGGGCGCGTAAATCACATATACAAAGTGATGGCAACATTCCCCCCCCCCAATAGTTCAATTGGCTCATCCAATTAAAAGTTGTGTATATCATCATGTGGGCATCTCCAGGCGGTGATGAGGCCTCTGTCCGTTGACCTTGACCTATTTTGATAAAGAGCTGCAGCTGCGCATAGCATAGGATAGAAACCTAAGCAAGAATGTACCCCGCCACAGCTTATACCTCCAACTCGCTTCCCATAATCATTCCCCCCTCCTCCCCCCGTTACTTATGACAGCCGAAAGATGCAAAGCAAAGGGAGAAAATCTTGAAGGCTGACACAGAGAGAGAAAACTCTGTGCTACTATTTTTAATTGTTCCATTATTTATCATATATTAATATTTCGCTCTGTCCCTACACCTATAGCGATTTTACTGCCTTTCTTTTGCCCAGGTATTTTTCAAGGTTTACAATATGTGCATTCAATGGCTATAGTTCAGAGCATAAATACATGTGTTTAACAGCGTTGAAAGGGACTATGGAGGTCTTCTAGTCCAACCCCCTGCTCAGGCAGGAAAACTGAGGATGCCAACTCTGAGTAGAGGTCCTGAGAAAGGTGTCAGGATAATAGAATAACACATATAAGGGACCTTTGGGGGGACACCTATACCATTTCAAAGAAATGGCTGTTCCATCTTTAAAACTTCCAGTGTTGGAGCACCCAGAACTTCTGGTGGCAAGCAGTTCCACCGATTAATTGTTCTCACTGTCAGGAAAATTCTCCTTAGTTTTAGGTTGATTCTCTCTTTGTTCAGTTTCCATCCATTGCTTCTTGTTTGCCTTCTGGTGTTTTGGAAAATACATTCCCCCCCCCATTTCTAGCAGCCCCTTAAAAGCCTGTTGCTAAACTCTTGGGCAAAGCATGTGAGCCATTTCCATGAAATGGAAATGGTCCATGAAAGTACATCTATAGTACGTAGATAATAAAGTTGAAAAAAGGTGAACAATATTTTTACAGAACTATAGATACGTTGAGGTTGGTGGGACAAGGAATGGCTGGGAGGGGAGGAGCCAGGCGACACACCCCTTGACCTGAGTGACATTGAGCTGGCCATGACCACCCAGTCACATGACCACCAAGCATGCCTACCATCACATGACCATCCAGTCACATGACCACCAAGCCATACCCACCCACTCACATGATCACCAAGCATACCCACCAAATAAGCCACTCCCATAGAGCTGGTAGTAAAAAAAATTGAATCCCACCACTGGTCCCCTCCAGCTTTTAATAGCTCAGTGGTGGGCAGGGCAATTTCAGGAAAGGAGGGGATGAAATGCCTGTAGAAGTTAGCAAATCCCAAGAAGCTCTGAAGCTGTTTTCGAGTGAGAGAGGGTTGTCAATCTAAGTCCACTTTAAATTTAGCTGGGTCCATTTCTACTCCCTCGTTTGACACTCGGTAGCCTAGGTAGTCCAGGCTAGCCTTGTGGAATTTGCATTTTGACAGCTTTGCATATAGCTAGCCATGAGTTTTTTTCAGACTTGGTGCACCAGTTTAACGTGTTCTTCTAGGGTTTCAGTGAAAATGAGAATGTTGTTCAAATACACGAGGACTCCTTTATACAGGTGCTCATGTAGCACCTCATTTATTAATTGCATAAAGATAGCAGGGACTCCTTGTACTCCAAAAGGCATCATTTTGAATTGAAAGCTGCCTTAAAGGACAGTTAAAGGTTTAGTTTTAAAGTTAAAGTTTTCCACTTGTTGCCCTCCTTTATTTGCCCTCAGTAGTATGTCTCTCACGGGTCCAGTTTCCCTTGCGCTAAATGAGCTAGCTAGCATGTCCTTCATGAGGGGCAGTGGGTAGATGTTTTCCATGCATACTGCATTAATTCCTCTAAAATCCATGCATAATCTTATTGACCCATCTGTATGAATACTGGGGCCAAGTTAGTGTTGATGTAATCTCTTAATTCTGTCATCTCTCTTGGGGTCATGGAGTACATCTTTGGCTGGGGCAGTTTGGCTCCTAGCACAAATTCTATTGCACAGTTTGTGGGGTGGTGAGGCGGGTAGGGCATTGCATTCCTCTTCACTGAACACTTCAGCCAAGTCACCGTATTCTTTGGGAATCTGGGGGCTTCCCAGCTGTGACTCTTAAGGTGGCAGCTGCTTTTTTGCCCTCTAGCTGACTGCCTGAACTTTCCCCTGCAGGGCTAGGAGGAGGGAGACGACCTAGTGCCAGTTTTATTTTCCGGTAACCATCTTACCGGATCCCACTTGTCCAGCCATGCCAGTCCCAGGATGACCATTTCAGAAATTTTTGGTGCCACCAAGAACCGGATAAGCTCACAGTGGCAGCCCATCTCTAACTACACAGGCTCAGTGACAAGGGTGTCGGGGGCTCCTCGATTAATGACCCATTGGGACTTGCTTGAAGCGTATGGGGTTAGTTAGGGGCCTCGTTTGGTTGCCTAGCTTCTGACAGAGGGGAGGCTGATTAGGCACCAGGTGCAACCTGTGTTAGCTCTATTTCGCCCTGGGCTCCCATCTTGGGCACTACTACTCTCGACATAATAGTGAATGGACGGATGGCTTTATTTACCCTAGGTTCATCCTCGCTGTCATTATTGCTGCCACCTTCTGCCAGCAGTGGGGCTTCCTGAGCCTAAGTTCCTTCCTTCCTTTCCGGGGGAGGAGAAACCTCAACACCTTGGCAGAGAAATGTCCCCTTTTCTGTGGGTGTCTGCAGTGGTTTCTTAGGCTTGGTCAATGCAGGGGCCTTTGCTCGAGGGAGAGGGGCCAGTGCCAGATATTCAGATGCTCAACCCTATTGGCCACATCGGAAACATTTGATTGATATCATTGACCGTTCTCCTGGACAACTCTTCCAATTGGCCGGAAACAAACCAAGCTGCCTCTTGGGCTTTTTCTCTGGTGTATCTTTAGGGTGCCAGTGGACTCAATGTCCAGGGCCACCGCCATCTGGTACCAGTCATGGATGTGGTCCAGGAGGCCCTTGCGGACACAAGTATTGAGTAGCTCCTTGTCCGGGCCCTCCTTGAAAAAGTGCACTAGGAGGCATTCGGGCCGGTACCGCAATTTCCCAGCAAGCCTCTGAAACTCTCCGACATATTTTTAGCAAGAAAGCCTCTACTTGGTCACCTTAATCTGTGCCTCTGCTTCCTGGTCCTTGGCAGTTTTCCTCAAACCTTTTCCTCAGTTCATGCAGGAACTCATCGACATTCCCTAGCTCAGGGACGCCCTCGTTGTGCCGTTGGGTCACTTACTCCGCAGCTTCTGCTTCCAGGTTTTTGGTGATGGTTGTGTTTATCTCCTGGTCACTAAGGTTGTTGTCTCCATAGCAGTCGATGTGAGTGTTGAGGTAATTCCTCGTTAGGAGAATGAGCGCATACAGGGAGACGTATTTGAGAGAAGTGTTTGAATAATACACACACAGTACACAGATACACTGTACAGTAAATGTAGGTTTTTACTTCCAGAAAGCTTTAAGCAAAGTCCAAAATAAGCAGTCCAAAATCATTCACAGGTAAAATCAGTCAGTTTTCATCCAGGGATAATCCAAAACAGTTCAGTACCAGACTTACATTAAATCCAGTAGTATCAGTCAATTAGAAGAAATGGAGCAACGGCAATACTTTCCAACAGAAGGAAACATAGATACACTCACGCTCTGAGACTCAGACTAAACAACCCAGGTTTCTGGCTCCATCTTATGGCCATTTGAGAAACCACACCCAATTGCATGCTCTTGCATTCCCTTAAAGATATAGTACTAAAATGGTTGTCCTGGTTTATGTATTTCTAACCCAAATAGCTCTTAGGTGACTCATATTCCTAACAGTGAGCCCACATCCAGTTCAGGTAGAAGGCCAGCTTAGCCGGGCTCCCATCAAAAGCAGCTCTTAAGCACAGTGGGCCGAGCCAGAGGAGGGGGCGATGCTGGGGCCAGGGCAGCTACTCATTGGGCTTGAACCCAGCCTTGCCAGGTGGCATCTGCCAGGCTGTTGGCAGCTGGGTTGTCCTGGCAGGCTAGGCTGAGCCAGAGGTGGTGGCAGTGGACTAGCCACCCGGATCATGGCAGTGGTAGATCTGTGCCAACTGGGAAGACTCAGCTGTGGGCTAGACTGTGCTGATGGGAGCAGTGGAGTCATGGGCCGAGTAAATAGGTCCCCCAAGGGGAGAAACGTCAAAAGTTGGCAGATTCAGGTCGACTCTCACTGTTGGTTTGATGCTCCCAAGGCTCAGCTGGCCAAATCTCTCCAACAGCAATCCCAGGGTTTGGTGGCGGGCTGTGATCTGGTATCTCCAATCCCCGGATTCACTGCAGGATATGTTGACAGTCCCAAAGGTCCTGTCAACCTCTGCTCGAAGATTGTCTCTCTGGCCTCCCACGTCGAGGTAATTGGACGCTCTCTACCAGCCCCTGGAATGTGGCCCAGCTGCCAATGTTTTCCTCTGCCCGGTAGAGCTCCTGATTGACCAGCTATTCAGAACAGACTTTGGGCCGGGTGCCCACCTGGCACACAATTTCCACCACCCCTTCCTCCACCCGTTGAGCCTCCAAGGGGGTTGGTAGGCTTTCTAGGGCTCCTGCACAAACCCCACAGAGGCCTGCAGCCTCTCCAATCTTCTCTTCCATCTTCCCCAAGTCTTCCTGCTACCTGAGTAGACCAGGTAGGCAGACGAGGCTCAGGATCCCTGATAGCAACTCTGGTTGGAGTTTGGAATTTAAGAGCCGGTTTAGTGTCAGGGTTCCAAGTCATAGACCCATAGCAAGCAAAACCCTGAGGCAGGTAGATTTCTCAAAGAACAGCTTTATTGGACATATCATATCGACACAGATCTTGTGAAAATCAACTCTGAAGGTTCCCGCGGTTCTCATCTAATTAAAAGTGTCACTTTCTCAAAACAATCGGTCACATGGTTTAATCACGGTGCTGTCCGGTTGCCTGGTGACATCACTCTGCCTTCCTCGGACCAGGTGTGAGAATGTCCTTGGTTCCCAAGAGAAAGTACTTTGTTTTGCCTACAAAATCCTAGCTATCTCAAATCCCCCACTTCCTATCCCTCAGCTCCAGTGTGGTCAAGATGGCTTCGGTCAGGTCAGCTTCAGGGTTGACACTTGAGCATTGGGCCCTATCCAACAAAACACATTTCAGTAGTAAGAAAGCTAAGGTCTTGCATCTGGGCAGAAAAATCAAATGCACAGGTATTGAATAGGTGGCACCTGGCTCAACAGCAGTAACTGCAAGAGGGGCCTTGTATGTATCAGTTGTTTAGACAGAGCAAACCCTGTATTCCCCATACAAGTCTAACCAGGTAACACGTCAGAGGCACAGAAGGGCTGCTGAGCAGGGAAGGATTGTTATTCTGAGGAACATCTTTCCAGAAGTTGAAACTCACTGACAGGGATCCCAATCGATGCCTCTGGGAATCTGTGGCAAAGCAAGAGATCCTCTCCTCAAAGGAAACTCCAGAAAGCTCCCAAAAGGCCATTTCTGCCCCAACCTTCTCCATGGGTGGCTAAGAAGACAGAGCAGAGGCAGGCTCCGGAATCTGACTCCTTGGCCTGACTTTCTCTGCGAAGCTGAATTCACACAGCACCCAAGGGCCAACGGAAGTTGTACCTTTCTGTATTGCAACTCAAGCCATTATGGTTCATAAATCAGACTTCATTTATTAGATTTTTATCCCATTATCCTTTATAATTTAAGGCAACAAACATACCTGGTATTCCTTCCTCCTCCTGTTTTTCCCCACAACAACCCTGGGAGATAGATTGAGCTGAGGCAGCACTAGAACTCGAGTCCCCCCGTTTCTAGCTTGGTGCCCTCACCACTAGGCCAGACTATGCTTTAACACTTATGCATCAGCACAATTTAGGATATCCCCTAATTTTGGTTTACTCAACCACCAGTGGTTATTCTTCTCAGTGATATGAGTGCAGCCAGAAAACAATCTAAAATGAACGTAGATTTTGTTGTTTTATTTACAATAAGGAGACATTGGTATTAAAAAGGAGACTGCTTGCCCCACACATCCATGTTTTCCCTCAAGTTGTTAGCAGGTGTTTCAAGAGTAAAATGAAATCACCTTTCCCAGTTTGAAAAAAAAAAAGACTATTTGGGCTCTGAAGAATAAAAGCTTCTAGCAGACAATCTGTCTTAATCTTTAACAAATGGAAAATTAAATAAAGTTTATTTTTTTTTAAAAAAAAAGAGCCAAATACATAAGACAAAACAATTCAACCAGAAGATGGCAGCAAGTAGAGAGGACTTGACTTTGTGGATTTTATGCATGATGAATTGGCAGCAGCTGTTTTCGCCAGCAGTGCTGCTGGTGTGCCGGCTGCTGCAAGAAAGAGCTGGCCTTGTGCTTATTCAGTCTCTTGGGAAGGGAGGAAGGAAGGAAGGAAGGAGGAAAGTTCCTGGAAGATTCATCCTGGAGGACCACTAGTAGTCCTGTGGGCACAAGGGCAGAGTGAACATCACTGGGGATGCCAGCACCAACTGTAGACGCACCGCTTCCCACCCAAAGGAGCTGAGAGGGACTAGCACCACAAGGTGCCTGCTGGAGTACAGCAGGACCAACCCTGGAAAACCCTGGCCCAAATTCCGACCCCCCCCCCCCCCCCCCAACAATGCTGTCCTTCAACCATCCAAAGCAGAGGCTTCAAGAAGGACATTCTTCCCCCCTTTAAGCAAGCTTCACCACAACCCTACCCAGAACTGTGCAGTAACTGAAAGGTGGCAGGACATTGGGAAGAACAAGAGAAGGGATACTTACAGCTCGTGGTTTTTTGTTCAACTTGAGATCAATCCTGCAATGGGAGGAAGGAAGAAGTGAGTGTTGGTCTACTGATGGCTAAGGCAGTCCCTGTGTGGGCTACAGCAGCAAAGGGTCTGATATGACCAGGCCATTGTAGCATTTCCAACCCAACTCCCAATGGCACCGAAAAGCAGATTCCACCCAACAATCAGAAGAAACACATTAAAGGGTTAGGCAGCATCCAAAGAACATGGGAACACAGCATCTGCTGGGTTAGCATGTTAAAGACAGAACTTAGAGGCAGAGGCGGCAGCAGAGGAGGAGGAGGAAATGGTAGCCAGAGTATTTAGTGGCACCAGTAAGAATCAATTTGTATTTTCTGCATTTGGGAAACTGCCTTGACTGTAGGCCTCAGAAAGCAAAGCGATAAAAAATCAATTTTCAGAGTTCAGTAGAAGTTTATCTGCTTTTCAAAATGACATAAAGAAGCAAAGAGGGTAGCCGAATGATTTTTTTTTTTAGCCAAGATTATTAAATAAAAAGTTACCTCCATTGTGCTTTTGTCTGTATTTTTAAAAACTTGCCAGCCTAACCTAATATACATACCTACAATTAAACAGATAAACTATGGATTAGAAGAGTTTTGAAAGCGCACGAGGGGACGTTGAAGGAGGGTGGCGAAGGGAAAAAGAAAAGTCTACACATTGACATCACAGCACAAAAACTAAGTCAAATCAAGTCAAACTTACTCAAAGTCATAATCAAACATGCCAGACGGGCTGAGGGGCAGCATTCGAAAAGAAGAAAGCAATAGAAATTAATATACTAAGGAATTAAATCAATTAGTTGATTAGCCACCCTAGCGAAGTTCAAAAATAACAAAGAGCAAGTTATACATCACTGTAATCTTGAAATATAAAATCCACCCAAGACCGCCCCCGTTCCCCCAGAAGTCTGCTACCCCAAATCATCTTATAACGCTGCAGGGACAAATATCAGCAACCTTGGAAAGAAAAGCAAGGTGGGAACCTCCCACAATGCTTGAAAGGAGTAGAGCAAAAACGGCCAAATCGGTAAAGAATGGGCAAGATTCGGGCTGGACTTCCTGGAAGGAAATGGAAGAGATTTTCCCCTGCTTGCCTGGCTTAGTGCCCAGCCTTGAGAAGGCAGAATTGGGGAGAGTGCTGGGCCAGGGGCAATAGCCAAGAGAGGGACTTTCTTTTTTTACTTTCCAGGGTAGCTCTGGGTGCTGAGGAGACACTATTCCTCAAGTCCAGCCCAACCTACACTTTCTCCACACTTTCTCCCAGCCTGTGAACAGGAAGATGTGACATCTTTCAGAACATAATCTCCAAGCTTGACCTTTTTGTCTATTGGTACCTTCCTGCCTTGCAGAAGGCCAATATCCATTAATTGGAAGATTTCCAATTCTCAATAAGGAACGCCTCGCTAGACAAAAAGGGTTATCATCAGACACTTGCAACTTAAACAAAACACATAGAACAATAACAGCCCCATTTCTCCTCTTTGTACCTTCACTTTCATTCCCTTCTCTACTGTCATTTTCAAGACTACATGAGCCACTTCCTTGCAATAAGCACAGAGAAAGTTCTTGGCTATAGCAGTAAAATGTCATTTCTGGGTTAAGCTGCCAATCTAAATTGGCTAGGTCTTTAACAGAAGACGGGGTGTCTTTCTTTGGGATAGAGTCCCTGGAAACCAGCGGCTGGTTTATGAACCTCCTTGGGGCAGAAGACCAGGACTGGTCTCTGAGGCTTTTCCAACCGCACCCCAAGAGAGTCCCTCAGCTGGGGATCAGCTGCCAGATTCAAAGGCCCACTTGGGGCGAACTCTGGCCCTCGTGGACCTTGTCTGTGGGGCAACAAGACAGGAATGTTAAACTGGGACTGTTCAAGAGAACAATGTCAGGGAGGCCCTTCCTTCTCCAGAGGTTCAGGTGGGCCCAGCCCGCTCAGGGTCTCCGGTCTGATGCTGGCTCACCTGTGCCGGTTTTTATTCTTCCGCTTTTTGTGGCTACTGTGGTGGCTCCCTGAGGCGGAAGAGGCCGCTTTCTGGGGCTTCACCCCCTGAACGGACCCATCCAGCTCTTCCACCTCTTCCTGGCTTGGCTCGTTCTCTTGGTTGTGGAAATCCGGGGACGTGTCACTCTCAGTGCCGCTGCCGGGCTCACCTGGAGGGAGAAAGGCAGGATGCCCCAGCTCGGCTACCCAGAGCCCGGGGAAAGGGCCAAGGGCAGCTGGGAGGGAGGGAGGGAGGGAGGGGCAGGGGACTTACGCTTCTCAATCAGTTGGTCCTGAACTCCAGCCAGGGCGCTGACTGCCTGGGGAGGAGAAGAGAGAGAGTTTAGTTGACGCTACTTTTACTTTATTGCCATTGCAGCTCGTGCGTGGAAAAAGAACGCCACCTTCAGTGCACAATGGGAGGGATGGAAATAAAGCACCAGGACGCCTCCTTCGCACTCTGTGCCATGGAAGTGAGGACCCCCCGACGGGGCATTCCCATCGCCCCCATAGACCGTGGGCTTCAACAGATCCCCTGCTCCCAACTGGGGGGTGGGGCGCCCCCCCTGTCCCGTGCGCCCCCCCAGCCCTCCACCTGAGCGAGTCCCCCAACTTACGGCCGCCGAGGTGACCGAGGACTTGCTGAAGAGCCGCTCCGCCTCCTTGAACTTCCGGTTCCGACGGTCGTTCTTGCTGTTGGAGTTTCTGCGGGGGGAGGAAGGGGGGGGAGAAGGGCGGGCAGAAATGGGGCTGGGGGGTCGCTCCCCCTCCCCCCTCCCTCCCCCCCGCCGCTGCCGCCCCCCCACCCCGCTCACTTCTGGTTGGTCAGGTAGCGGTCCCAGCCGCGGATGATGTTCCCGTACATCTGCGTGTCCTCCAGGTAGCTGCCCTCGAAGGCGTAGATCTGCCGCTCCAGGTTGGCCAGCGTCTCCTGCGGCGGAAGGACCGGCCGGGCTAGCGAGGCGGGGCGGGACGGGACGGTCATCCGCCGCCGCCGCCGCCGTGCGCCCCCTCCCCTCCCCTCCGCCCCCCCCCCCGCCCGCCCCGCCCGCCATGCGGCTCACCGCCAGCTCCTGCTTGCGCTTGACCAGCTCGGCCAGCTCGCGGCGGGTGTCCGGGATCTGCGGCGGGGCGCCGGCCTTGGCACCCGCCCCGTGCAGCGCCGCCATGGCCCGACCGCCAGCGCGGAGCAGCAGCAGCAGCAGCAGCAGCCCGACCACGACCAGGCCGCCGGGGAGGAGGAGGAGGAGGACGCGGCGACGAGAGAGGCGGGAGGGCGGGGGCGGAGCGTGGCGCGGCGCGGCGGCGGGAGGAGGAGGAGGAGCCGCGGCCTGGAGCGCCCTCGGCCGGTCGGACGCCCGCCTTACCCGCAGGCCGCCGCGCCCTTCGTGCGCCCGAGAGCGGAAGGCCCGGCCCGGGGAAGTCGCTTCAGGCGTGCTGCAAGGCCGGACGGGGGGTGTGGGTGGGGGGAGGGGAAGCGGCGGCGGGGACAGGCCGGGATTACCGCCCGGGGCGGCCCAGCCCGGCCCCCCCCCCTCCCGGGCGGCCCCCCCCCCCCACCTCCCCCCCCCCCCCCCCCGCGGACTCTGGTGGGGCTTTGGGGGCCGGTGGGCGCCGAGGAAAGGAGGAGATGCGCGAAGAACACAACACACACACACACACACGGAGGCCTCGCTGTTCTCTTAACCAAGAAGCATCTATTTTTAAACAAACTGCACAAGGAATAAAAAAGGAAGAAACGAGCGGAAGGGCTGGTGGGCTGTAAAGGGCCGCCCTGCGTGTTCAGGACGGCCGACCCCTCGAGAGCGGCTTCCTCATGGAACGTGCACTGGAAAAAACGCCTCGGATGCTGCGCAAGCATCGAACTTTAAAAAACGCCACCCCAAGGCAAAAAAAGGGGGCTTCCTGGCCCAGCCACCTCCACCCGAGGAACCTCCAGGTGTTAAGGCAGGGAGGGCACCCAGAGCTTGGAGGCTCCAATGTCCACCGGGTGGACCCCAGGGGGGGGGGGTCCAGGTTCACTCGCTGTCAGCGCGACAGGTGGATTCTTCCTCCTCCTCCTCCTCTTCTGTCTTCTGGTCATCCCCTGTGGCATCGGAGGACTCGTGGAGGAGGACGTATTCCCTGCTGCTGAAGCCGAATTTCAGCACATCCTTCTCTCTCAGTTCATAGTAGCGCTGAGGTTCGATGCGCTGGTTATTCAGGAAGGTGCCATTGCCTGAGCCGAGATCAATGATGTATGGTTTCACCTTCCGGCCCGCTGTGCCATCAGGACGGGTGTACTGTACAAGCCTTGCAAAAGACAAAAGAAACCCATGGTAGTTAATGCCCAAAGATCCAGGAATACAGTTTGCTTCATCCGTACTTCTGAATTTGGATTCCTCCAGCCTCTCACAATGCTCTAAAGAGAGAGAGAGGGATCAAATACATCAGATCCCTTTTCATTCCATAGCTGGAGGTGTTTAGGCCCAGATAACTGTGAGAAGGCAGTTTGTGTGCCTAGATTGAGTGGCTGCCCGATTCCCAGCAACTCTGGGTAGCTTACAGTGCAATGAAAGGGAAAAAGGCACATGTACCAGGAACAAACTACACAAGATATCCAAGACAAGTAAGAGGCTTGACAGCTCCCTCAAGGCCAGGCTTTTATAGAGATTTGTAGAAGAAGGGGTGAGACCAAACTCCCTTGAAGATGACATTCCTCAAATGGCAGCTCCTGGTCTCCCAGCCTGGAGCTTCTTCATTACCCTGGTGGAGAAAAATCACTGGGACTCCTAACACTAATCCTTGATGGGCCCAGCCTTCCTCTCCTCTTATAAAAATAACGTCCACTTCTCCATCTCAGGAAGAGGTGGACTATCTTCCACTGGATGCTCTAGATAGCTTGGCCATGGGTGAGGGATGGTAGCAATGAGGCTTAACAAAGTCAACAACCAGATTCCCCACAAGGTCTTGTTTTCTGTTCAGTTCCTTTCGGAAGCCAAGGGAGTGGCCTCCTGCTGATGCTTCTCCCTACCCATTTCTCTTCCCAAAGTCAGGCTCACAAAACCAATGAATTTTCACTTCTACTTCTCAGCAATGGTTTTCTCCTCTCTCTATAAGCTACCCCCTTTTTTTCCACAGGTAGTCTTTGATATATGATGATTGGGGCCAAAATCTGGTCATAAGTTATTGCAGTTATAAAGAAACCATGTTTTTCTGGGTTTTTAAAATATATTTTTTCATGGCGATTGTTAAGTAAATCACCAGGGATTGTTAAGCAGACTTAATTTCCACAAATTGTGGCCATGCGACTATGGGAACCATAACTGATAGTAAATGCAAGCTGTTTGCCAAGCATCCAAGGCCAAGGTAACTCCAAATGATCGGAAAATGACCATTGATAAATCTAGGGTTATCTGTACCTATCTCTGACTCTTCTAGCTGCTTTTTAGGCAAGCAGTTTATTCAAATCTCTCCTAAGCACCATCTTCTGCAGTCGAGCCTCCAAGTCCCCTCCTCAGTTCTCTCCACAGCGCAACATTTGCTCCCTTTGATAGCAGTTAGTCTCTTTTGCTTGATTTGTTTCTTTTCTCAGGTCACTGATCTTTTCCTGACATTTTTTCCTGGCGACTGTTAAACACATTACCAGGATTGTGATTTTTCCACTAATTGTGGCCAAAGCAGCCCCTGCTGCAGTGTCCCATGTCACTAAATCTTACAGAAGGTCAGGAAACAAACAGTACACACAGGGTCAGGTCATCAAGGAAGAGTACAGTAGGCAGTTAGAATTATAAAGACTAGGTCAGGAAAGAATTTATTTGGAGAAGGAATCCTACCAGGTTCTTTGGAAGAATGCACAATGAAGCCAGCAAAACACCCAACAGGTAACCAGTTTACCTGGGGATCAGTTTTTTCCAGCAAGACAACAGTAAACTGGCTGAGGCCCCGGAGCACAGATGGAAACTGACAGAAATATAGTCAAGATGCATTTAGTTACTTAACCCAGAGCTATAAGGACGTTGACAACAATGGGATGGTTATCCAAAGTCAACACCTCCAGAGCAAATTTGCCAGGGTAACTTTATCTCACATTTAGATCAAGTAATCAGTGCTAGGTTGTGGAAGCCCTTTGGCAAAAAGCATCTTGATCTCAGCAACACATCTGATAAAATGCCCCATGACAGGCTGCTTTGCAAGTCAGCTAAGTGTAGCATGAGAGTGAAATGGATACCATGGCTGACTTGCAAATCATATCCCAAGTGTCCTCGTCAATCATTGTTGCACTAAAAAGATAAAGTGGGCAGCTTAAAAGTGCATCACCTCTATCCTCTATTCATAAATGTTTTTCTTAATTGGGAAAAAAAGTGGTAGGAATTCTTATCAATTTGTAGAGTATATAAAATTGGATAAATAGCTAATACCTAGAAGACAAGAATAACAATGTTGAAAGGTTGGAGAAACAGGTCAAAAGTATCTTAATGACATTCAACAGAGACAAATGCATAGGTACAGAGTGGGAGATATCTAGCTTAATAGCAATAGTTGTGGCAATGGAATGGCACAATTGCAGCCAAAACAGAGCCCTCGGTTCCTTCTTTTCCAATGGAAGGGAAAGAGGAAAGTATAGTCGGCTGGGTGGGAAAATACAAGGGGTAGCAAGCAGCAGGCTCTAGAGGTAAGAGTCAGTGTGGGACAGAAGTGGCTGCTGCGGCTTTTGTTGCTAGCACAAGAAACTAAACAGTGAAGAGAGTAGAATCTTGCCACAAGCAGCTAAGCCCATTCCCCACTTCACCTCACCCCCCACCCCACCCCACCCAATTCAGAACTTACCGGTACTGAAAAACAGCATGTTGTTTAGAGCATGAGGGATGGTCAATAGGAATGTCAGCAATGCGTCGGTGCCTTCCCAAGAGATAAGCACTCTGCCGGTGAATATACATAACAGGAAGAACCTCATCGTTCTTGAAGGGATATAAACGCCATCGCTTTTTTGGAATGCGTGCTTCTGGGGGTTCAGAATATTTGATTACAACGCCACGGAAAGTATTGGAATCCTCCAAAAGGGCACCAGATAGTTCAAAGCTTGGTTTTTCCTTCTTGCTAGCCTCCTTGTCCGTATTCTTGTTGCTGGGCCCTCTTCCCTCACTATTTTCCTCATCCCCACTCCCTTCCATTTGTTGATGATGTTGCCGCCGCCTCTGGTTATAGAATTCCCTCTCCGCCTCTTGATCCAGGAGATGGTGGGCGTCCTGTTCCCTTCCGTGGCTCTCAGCCTGCTCTTTAGCGAGCTTCCTTCGGGCTGAATGGCCCCGGTGCCTCTCTCTATTGCTTTTTCGTCGCCTACGGTCAAGCTCTGAGCGGTCTTGATTCTGCCGCTCCTCATGTCCCCTCTGAGAATGATCCTCTGGCTCCTAGAAACAGCGGAGGAATAAATAGGTAGCTACAAGTCGAATTCAGGGACAAAGATAAATAAAATGTTCTTGGATTCCCATCTGTATTTTGTCAAAGAGTTCGCTATTATTCCAATAATGGTTGAAACAGACAGCTGCAAAGCATGGCTAACATTTGAACTACGGAGTGATGGGGGGAAACTGAATGGTAAGCCCAGAAGGTCTCCAAGCTTGGCCTCTTTAAGGCTTGTGGACTTCAGCTCCCAGAATTCCTCAGCCACAAGCCTTAAAGAGGCCAAGCTTGGAGACCTCTGGGTCAGCCTAATGGCGAAGGGCAGCGGGGCAACGGAAGTGCGAGGATTGCCGACCTCCAGAAGCGCCTAAGCTGGAAACCTGGCCCCGAGAGGCTGGAAAACTGGCCGGCCGCGAGGCCCAGAGCCAAGACTAGTCGTCTCAAGCTATGGCCGGGAACTCGCTGGACGCAGCCCGAGAACATCCGATCTGGCGCCTGGAGAGTTGCCGACACGCCAAAGGCCGAACTCGGCCCGCGGCCTCCTCCCTCCTGGGCACCCCGCGCCGGCTTCTTCAGCCGCGTACCTGCTTCATCCTGACGCCGGCGTGTCGCGGGCTCCGGCTCCGCTTTTCCCGGGGCAGCGGCGACCTGCTCCTCTTGCCCGAGGACCGGCGCCTCTTCCTCGATTGAGACCTTCCAACGACACACACAAACCCCGTCAGGCCCCAAGGCCCGGCCCGCCACGGTCTGCCTCCCCACCCCACCCCCTCCCCGGGTGGCCCCTGCCCTCGGCGCTCACCTGCCGGCCTCCCGGGGGCTTCCCCGCGGGCTGCGCTTCCGGTGCCTCCGCCGCCGCTCCGACTCCTCCATCGCGCCTGACCGGCTCCCAGTTCCTCGTTTCCGCCTCTAGGCCACCGCCGCCCTCCGCACGGCCCGGAAGCACTCGACGAAGTGCTTCCGCCCTCAGTGGCGTGCCTTGCGTCCCATGAGCGCGACGCTGCCGCCCGTGATTGGCCAGGCCAGCGAGCGGGTTTCTTACGTCACGGCGGGCCGGAGGGCCTTGGTGCGCCTGCGCGCGCTCCCGCCGCGCCCCCCCCCCGCCGGCGTCCCCGTGGCCGTGGCAACGGCGGCGCAACCAGCTGGGCGCCGGTCGGGCCTGGAGGAGCCGCCATGATCCCCCCCGCGGACTCCCTCCTGCGCTACGAGACGCCGGTGCTGGTCAGCCGCAACACCGAGAAGCGCTCGCCCAAGGTAGGCGGGGGGCAGAGGGAAGGGGCCGGAGGACGGCAGGTATTCACCGCTGCACCGCTCCGCAGGCCCGGCCGTTGAAGGGGACCCCGCAGCTGACGGTGCCCGCGGGGCCCGTCTCGCCGCCCAAGGGCAAGGCGCCCTCGCCCTCGGTGGACCCCAGCAAGCAGGCCGAGGAGATCCTCAACGCCATCCTGCCGCCGCGGTGAGGCACGCGGGGGGGAGGGGGCGCGGGGCGGGGGGTGGGGGACGCCCGAGGCGTCGGCGGGGGGTGGTGGGACACACACGACCCTCTCACCTGCGCTTCCCCTGCAGAGAATGGACGGAGGAGAACCAGCTCTGGGTGCAGCAGGTCTCCAGCACGCCCAGCACGCGCATGGACGTGGTGCACCTGCAGGAGCAGCTGGACCTCAAGCTGCAGCAGCGCCAGGCGCGCGAGACCGGCATCTGCCCGGTGCGGCGCGAGCTCTACTCCCAGTGCTTCGGTGAGGGGCGGGGGGAGGAGGGAGGGAGGAGGGCGAGAGAAAAATGATAAGTTACTCTTTTATAATAGGATTCATATAATTAGACTAGAAGATTCTCTTTTGCTCTTTCTGATGCTTCTTGTTAACTTCTTTTTCTCTTTCTCTGAATAAGCCCCCACCCTATAACCTAAAATGTAAATGAGACGGGGGAGGAAGGAGGAGGTGGAGGGGCTGCCAGCAGAGCCTGACTCCCCCCACCCCACTGCTTCTCCCCACCCCACAGACGAGCTCATCCGGCAGGTGACCATCAACTGCGCCGAGCGTGGGCTGCTGCTGCTGCGCGTGCGGGACGAGATCCGGATGACCATCGCGGCCTACCAGACGCTCTACGAGAGCAGCGTGGCTTTTGGCATGAGGAAGGCCTTGCAAGCCGAGCAGGGCAAATCCGACATGGAAAAAAAGGTACGGTCGGCTGGAGCTCCCTGGCGCCCGCTTGGCCCAGGCAGAGGGGGAGGCTTTCCTCCCAGGCAGCCCCATGGAGCAAGCCAGAGCAAAGGGTGGCTCGGAAACAGCAGCCGGCCTTTCCCTGACTGGCGTCTTCCCTGCCTCCAGATTGCAGAGTTAGAGGACGAGAAACGGGACTTGGAAAGACAGGTGAACGAACAGAAGGCCAAGTGTGAAGCCATTGAAAAGAGGGAACTGGAAAGGCGGCAGGTTGAAGAAAAGAAGCACACGGAGGAGGTCCAGTTCCTCAAACGGACGAATCAGCAGCTCAAGGTTAGAGAAGACACAGACGGAGCGTTCTGGTTTTAATAGGCTGCACCTGTAGTCAGGAGTGGGATCCTACCGGCATAACCACCAGCTCGGGGAGCGCACACATGCATGCCAAACGTGCATTGCACACACGTGCACGCTACCGGCTCCGGCGAGCATTTACCTCCTCCAGCTGACAAGCGGCACTCAGCAGTGCCACGCAAAGCAGCTGAGGAGGTAAAAGCATAGGATAAAGGACAGCCTAGAGCCCCGGCCGGCAGGTGGGCCAAATAGACGAACCTGGTCAAACCAGTAGCATCCCACCTCTGCCTGTAGTCACATTATTCTGCCTTCCCTGCACAAGACTAGTCCTTGACTAATGACCATAACTGAGCCCACAATTATGCTGGTTAAGCAGGTTAATGCCCGAGCTGAACTGATTTTGATTTTTGCGTTGTAATTAAGTGAATCTGTTTTGTCCAGTTTTTTGCCCTGTGTTCATATCACTGTAGGACACTGCAAAGGTGAGCCAGTTGCCAAGTGCCCAAAATGTGATTGTCAGGATTCCGGCAGTGACCCCAATTAAATCATGAGTCTCAAGCCAAACTTCCAAAACTTCAAAAGGATTTATTGGGAGTTAAAAGGTCCAGCACTGCCTCGGTGTAGCCAACTCTGAGATATATAATTCATTGTCACCCTTGACCCTGGTTTTCCCCCACCCCTGGGTGTATTGCAATTCATATTCTCCAATGGGACACCTTCCATAGCCAAGAGTCATCAATCATGGTCTCCAGTTAGAATTTTGCACAGCAGAAACTGCAGTCACCTAGTTACTATCTTTGAAAACTACTTATGGAATGTACTTTTGCTTTCCAAGCTGCCGCACTGCTCCCCGTCCCTTTCTGCTGGCAACTAAAAAGACCATAGAAATGTTTTATGAATTGACAGTTGGATCGTGTGACAGGGTGCCGCTGCCATCTTAACTTTCAGATCAAGTCATAATTTGTAACTTAAAGCAGTCACTAAGCAACTGTTATAAGTCACGGACTACCTGGACTTGTTTTTTGCCTTAGGCTGAGTTGGCTCTGGGCAATTTACACTGCTGGCGGTGTTGAAGTCTTTAAAAAAAGCCCACTTAGGATTCTGTTTTTCAAACTTAACAATTATGCTTTAATTTCTAAGCCAACCATACGCTGTTGCAGAATGGTTCATGGCTAAAATATTTGATGCAGTGTCTCTCCTTCGTGTCCAGCAGCACCATAGTCTCTCAGGGAGAAGTTTTGTATCTTTTGGCATAAGGCAGTGGTCCTCACTAATTAACTGCTTTGTCTGCATTTTAGGCACAGCTCGAAGGCATCATTGCACCGAAGAAATAAGCTTTGTCAGCCCAATACAAAAAGTGCCTTGAGGGGAAAAAGGAGAATACGTCTGTAGATAATTTTTCCGGAAACAGTCCAGAATTTATGTGTATCTAAACTGTTCCACCTCATCTGAATCAACATAAATTCAAATACTGTTCAAATGTCTCTTGCACATTTAAAAAGAATCTCAACTGGCTTGGAATTTGTCTTTTCAATTAATATTTACTGAAGGTAAATAATGAAGGTGCTTTTAAAAAACCAGTATTTTAGTTCTATGCAGGAATCTGCCCAACTGTAAAACGAAGGGCTGTACAAAATGCATTAAAATGAATCCTGACTCCTGAAATGTGATGCTGTTTAACTGGTGTTCACACATCCTGATTAACTTCTCCTTTACCATCCATATAAGCCAAAGGTAGTAAGAAATCTTACTCTTTCTGCTGTTTTGATTGATTGTTTTCACATCAGTGGTGTCTTTTGTAAGGATCCTAAAGGTAGCCAACAGTTTTCATGTCATAAATGTTTACTATATTTATAAAGAGAACTATTTCAAGATGTATCTTTATTTATCTTGGGTTGTAAATCTCTGGGCTTCAGTGTCAATTTTCCTCTTGTTCCTGTTTCTATTTTTGACATTATGAGTATCATAATATCGAACACCAACTTTCTTTGAGTGCTGCTGCCGCTCTGCTCTTCTCTTCTGCAAAGGCAAAACCGCGGTTTTGAAAAAAATGTAATAGCTGTAATTTACTATCCCAAAAGAGGGGGAGGGGGGGGGAAATCCCACATGTAAGTGCTACCTACAATTCTATTTTTAAATTCCACACTACATGACAACTATGCCGCATAAAATGAACATGTTTCCCTCGGGCTGCACCTTATGAAAACCACAAAGGACAACTGATTTACCTTCTACCTTGAGTTTCTATGTAACTCAAGGTGACCTACATAATGCTCCCACCTCCTGTTTCCATGAGATGGTTTGGGCTAAGGAAAAGTGACAGTCCCAAAGCCACTGAGCCGGACTTCGCTGCTGATACCTACCTCCTTTGAATTTGGTTTCTTGCAGGAACTCTGCTGTTCCTCTCCCTCTGAAATCTTCCTTTTCCTTCTTTCTTTCCGTTTTCCTAAAAATAGCACGTCGAGAATAGTAAGAGACAAAGCTCTTTCTGAAGAGCCGAACACTGTGAGCGACGAAGAGTTTTCCAGTAAAGGACAAAACTGTTTTGGAATGGGATGGTTGTGCTCCCCTTCCACATAAAATGACAGCTTCCTGACCCCCCTTTTCTCTGATGCATGCCTTAAATATATTCAACAAATACAAGGAGCAAAGTAGATCACAAGAGCTTGAGGAAAAGTGCTCTCCAGAATAGGTGTGGGCCTTTCTACTGCAGCTTCCTAGGCTATACAGATGCATTTGGGAAGCTCTCCAAAGTGAAGGAGGGCAACTGCCCTTTTTCACAGTCACTCCCTAACAATCAGCACTCAGAGCATACTGTTGGTGATTCAGATGTTAGCCCAAATCCATGCAGGTTAGTAACAGTTTATAGTTGTGAAAAGAACATTTGTGGAGGACTGGACTATCTGCACCGCAACACAGAATTCTGTGGCTTAAGTATGTCATGTGGAGTCAAGCCAGTGTTGTCCCTTTATAAGAATAAAGCTATGTTTTTAATTGTTTTCTATTTTTTCTTTCTATTTTCTTCTCCCTTCTTTCTCTTTTTTTTTCCATTTGTGTATGTGTTGTCGGTTTGTTTTAATTGTAAAATCAATAAAATTTATAAAAAAGAAGAATAAAGCTATGAAACGTGCATAGGGTGCAGATACCACTAAAGGAGCCACCATACCTGTAGTCTTCTGAGTTTCAACAGCCACTGAATCCAACTCTGATTTTGCAAATATTTTTTCATTCAGCCCCTTAGGGATTCTAGGCAGGAGAGCAAACAAACGGTTACTCTACCTAAACCCGACTCCCCATTCCTCTAGCAGTTGTATAGCTCAAGTTTCATAGGACAGCCCCATTCTCCTAATCCTCTACTATGATAAGTTAAAAAAAATACAGTGCACTGTAGAATATATATTTTACAAATAAGCAGCTGTGGACACAGTCAAGAAAACCA